ATGTTCATCCATGGCTGTTGTTGATCCTTGTTTGTTTTGGTGACTGTATTGTTTGGATTTGTTTAGACATGTTTGGACTTTGAATAGTGTCAGTGTCATCCCTTTTTTTCGAAGGTTCACCGCCCTGAGTGGAGGGTGTGAACAAATACAATCAGATACAATGGGATGCAAGGGGAATGGTATATAAAATGAGTATTGTGGGGAGGGTGTGGACAAATACGATGGGCTTTGGGAGGTGAAAAGGTTCATAAAATGGGTTTACCATCTTTTCCCTGGGAGGGTGTGCACAAATACGATGGGCTTTTGGGAGGTGACAATGTTCATAAAATGGGTTTACCACCTTTTTCCTGGGAGGGTGTGCACAAATACGATGGGCTTTTGGGAGGTGACCATGTTTAATGGATTTACCATCTTTTCCCTGGGAGGGTGTGCACAAATACGAAGGGCTTTTGGGAGGTGACAATGTTTATAAAATGGGTTTACCACCTTTTTCCTGGGAGGGTGTACATAAATACGATGGGCATGGTGAAGTTTATAAAATGAGGCGATCCAACCTCCGGGTTTTGTGTCACTTTTTTGCGCTGTGGTTGGCTCCCTTACAATAGTGGCTCTACAACCAAGGTTTCTAATAACCTTGGTTTGCATGGGCCTATCAAACCATAATGAGCCATTTATGGTTTAGCCGTATAGTCGCAATAGGCTCCCTGAAGGTAAATCCTATGCAGGACTAGTTTCTGTGAATTCTGCTTGAAGAAGAATCACACTCAAAACATCTCAAAAGAATGAAAGGCAACCTTAAATTTAGAAACATAGAAGCAACTGTGCAATTTAAGACAAGTGATAGCAACCGAAAGCAATCATCTCGACAAACTTGCAAGCAAAAACATGTGAAACACAACAATGCCAAAAGGAAAAACACTGCACACATATATATATATATATGTTCATTGATGTTCATTGAACATTTTGACATGTTTTTGTGTGCTGAACAATACCTGAGCATTCACCATGTGCCACATTCAAGTTGTGCATTGTCTTTGGCACGGGAAATGATGGGAAATGGATGGAAATGTTTTGATTCGGTTGCTATCACATGTCTTAAATAATTGTTCCCTTGTTTTGATATTATAAAGTTGACTTTCATTCATTTGAGATGTTTTGAGTGAATTCTTCTTCTTCAAAAAGAGTTAACAGAATCTAGTCCTGCATAGGATTTGCCTACATGGAGCCTATAGCCACAATAGTGCTATACCATAAATGGCTCATTATAGTGTGATAGGCCCATGCAAACCCAGGTATGTAATAGAAACCTTGGTTGTAGAGCCACTATTGTAAGGGAGCCAACCACAGCGCAAAAAAGTGACCCAAAACGCAGAGGTTGGATCGCCTCATTTTATAAAACTTCACCATGCCCATCGTATTTGTGCACACCCTCCCAGGAAAAAGATGGTAAACCCATTTTATAAACATGTTCACCTCCCAAAGCCCATCGTATTTGCGCACACCCTCCCAGGGAAAAGATGGTAAACCAATTTTATAAACCCTTTTCTCCTCCCAAGGCACATCGTATTTGTCCACACCCTCTCAGGAAAAAGCTGACAAACCCATTTTAAAAACCATTTCCGTTCATTTCCCCTGCCAAAGACAATGCACAACTTGCATGTGGCACATGGTGAATGCTCAGGTTTTGATCAGCGCACAAAATCATTTCAAAATGATTCAATGAACATCAATGAACATATTTTTGTCTGCAGTGCTTTTCCTTTTGGCATTGTTGTGTTTCACATGTTTTTGCTTGCAAATTTGTTGAGATGATTGCATTCTGTTGCGATCACTTGTCTTAAATTGCACAGTTGCTTCTATGCTTTTAAAACTAAAGTTGACTTTCATTCTTTTGAGATGTTTTGAGTGTGATTCCTCTTCAAACAGAATTCACAGAAACTAGTCCTGCGCAGGATTTACCTACAGGGAGCCTATAGCCACTATACGGCTATACCATAAATGGCTCATTATGGTGTGATAGGCCCATGCAAACCAAGGTTATTAGAAACCTTGGTTGTAGAGCCACTATTGTAAGGGAGCCAACCACAGCGCAAAAAAGTGACACAAAACCCGGAGGTTGGATCGCCTCATTTTATAAACTTCACCATGCCCATCGTATTTATGTACACCCTCCCAGGAAAAAGGTGGTAAACCCATTTTATAAACATTGTCACCTCCCAAAAGCCCATCGTATTTGTGCACACCCAGGGAAAAGCTGGTAAACCCATTTTATAAACCTTTTTCCCCCTCCCAAGGCCCTTCGTATTTGTCCACACCCTCCCAGGAAATAGATGGCAAACCCATTTTATAAATAATTTTCCCTGCCAAGGCCCATCGTATTTGTCCACACCCTCGCAGGAAATAGATGGCAAACCCATTTTATAAATAGTTTTCCCTGCCAAGGCCCATCGTATTTGTCCACACCCTCCAGCTGTTTGGCAGAGGGAATGGTTTATAAAATAGTTTTCCCCTACCAAGGACTATTAAATCCATTGGCAAACATATCAAAAAATCCAGAAACTTCCGAAATCCGACACAACCCTTTGTGTTTTACAAAATGAGTATCCATCTGCAGCATGATTCTATTCTCTCACATCCTTACTTGTTTATAAAATGAATAACCATGTCCCAGCTGTTTCTATGTTTAAAAAAATCCCTGTTTATAAAATGTTCACAGGATCCGAACCGACCTGTTTATGACATGAGGGCCAGGATTTTAGAGTCTGTTTTTTTGAAATTCCGATTTCCGGCAACATTGTGATCGTTATGAAATGACCCCCAAAAAAGTCATTTTATAGGTTACCAGCATCCCCATTTCATAAGGACTTGTGCAAGGGGGATACAATTGACAACTGGTCTGGTCGGATATGCACACCACCATTGACAAACAGCTGACAAACTATCATCTGAATTGAGATTACTAGGATGAACAAAATGCTCATCCACTTCCTGACCTTCATCTTGAGTTTGGCTCCACTCACCGAACCCCTTAAGGGGTGGCAACAACGGAGACGACCTAAAATGCGGCATGTTTGCCGAACGAGGCCAACCAAGACGAAAATAAATAAAACACTCGCAAGACCCCATGTGAGCATACGGCCCTGCTTGCTAGTCCCATAACTGTTTTCAACCCCTTCGAAGGAAGAATCACAGCTATCATTCGTGAAATACAAAGATGAAACCCCCTGTGTTGGGCAAAAGAGTATTCCGTCACGAAAGTCGGCAGCAAACAAATGACATGCCTCTGTACCTTCCAGCACAGAACACCCATTCCCGTTCCAGCTCACTGACATAGTCGCCTTGAAAGCCATGGCGCCTACATGGACCGTGTTGCTGGACTCATATTCATGCTCAATGCGGCCAGAGGTGAAGCATTGTTCAATTCCCTTGATATCCCTCTTCAGTCGACATTGCTTTCCAGAAAAGAGATGATACGAACAATAACTATCTGCCTGGCCACAGTTACGTGCTCCTAGTCGAACCTCTCGAGAGAATTGGATGCGTCTCTCCTTGGGCTCCTGCTGACACTTCTGGATCGAACAGCCTCCGGCTCCTCCAGCTGATGCCTGGCTACATCCAGTACCCTTGCTCTGGCGTTCCGTGCTGTCAACGATGAGTCGAAATCCACCAGCCCTAAAGAAGGATTCTTGATAAACTGCGGAGATTTCTCGTTCGGGAGTTCTGGACGAATTGGCGTAGCACCTGCATATGTCTCGACACGTGCTTGTAGATCTTGGATCATCGCATTCGATTTCTCCAGCTGTCTCCTCAACATTTCCTTCTCGGTCTCTTCCACACTTGCCATGCTTGCGTCCTTCTCGGCACGGGATTCTTTGATCAATATCTGGTTGATCTCCTTCTGCACCTCCGTCATTTGCTCGTTGAGAGACTGCAGATCTTCGAGGTGTTTCACTTTTTCCTTTTTCGGTGCTCTTCGATGGCATCCAAAAATTTGCCCCAAGCTTCCCGCTTTTCTGCATGCTTCGCTTTGAGCTTGTCCATTTTCGCCAAGAGCTTCTTCTTGAGGTTGAGTGTCTTTTGCTCTTGGCGCACGTCTTCTAGAGGATCTGTCGCTCCCAACAAGTCCGACAGGTGCTCGTCTATTGTGATAGATCTTGACTCTAGCAGATCTCTCACTTCCTTTTTCAAAGTCAAGACATCTTTGGTGGAAGCATCCTTGGTCGATGAGGACGACGAAGGCAACAAAGATTCGTAGGAGGGGAAAGGCTCTCCCCCTTTGTCTTGCTTTGGCTTCTCCTGCTTCTCTGTCTTGCCATCTTTCTTTTTCTTTGGCGGTCCTTGCTGCGGCTGTTGGTGAGGCCACTGGTTCCACCAAGGCCTCACATTTTTCCCTTTCCCTTGTCCACTCCATCCTCCCATGGGGTGACTGTGGTGAGAGATCAGCAACCAGGCAGCTTCCTCCGCTCTTCTCTTGGTTCTTCTGGGCAGGTAGGTTGCACCTTTCAAGCCACCAAGGAATCTGCGTGCTCGCGCTCGGTTTGCACGCAATCTTCGATGCCAGCTCGGGCTTTTAGTTCGTCTCCGTGCCGTCAGTCTCGTAGAACAACCCTACCACCAATTCTAGTGGACTATGGCACAGAAATGGAAAACGAGGCGCGTCCGACGCCCCTGGGGTTCAAAATCACACCCACACCGCTGTTGGTGTTATTCGAGCCCTAAAGGACGATCAGGGGAAAGTAAAACAAACACAAAAGCACAGCACGAAAAACAGGAGCAACCGCAAAAAAGCAATGAAAAGCTAAACAAGACAAAAAAGGCAAGGTAAAGCAGAAGAAATCAAGCGAAGCAATGAGAAGCCAGAAAAGCGACAAGAAGCAACTCCAACAACAAAAATCCCTAAACGCAACAAACATAGCCCTCCCTATGAAAACCCGAGGGCCAGTGGCAAGCAAAATCTGGTTGATTTCTACTTTCGATCGAACCACGACATGTCACTCCTTCAAGAAGTACTCATCGAACATGGTAAAGGCACTCATCACCTCAGCGTTTCTACGGTTTTGAAAGGAATGTGGCTCAAACATGAAATTCAAAGCGCAGAAATCGATCAGACCCTGTGACTCCTGGGTCTAACTTGTTTGAGCAACAGCCAGAGTTATATATAATATATGATCATGCTTATACATATATATATATACATAATACAATATCATACATATATATATATATGCGTGTGTCGACATGATGTGCGGGTGAGTGAAGGATGAGACGGGACGTCCTTTCCTTCATCATCTCCGCTTGGCTTGGTTCTGTTGGAACTCGTCACATCTCTCCTAACGCTCTTGCAGGCTCTTGCATGCTCATGCTCTGCCAGGTTCGGCAGGCAGTTCAGCACCCCGTCCGATGGGTCCCTTGAGCCGTCCCTGGATGCATCCCTCGGCTTCCCAACGACACCAAAGCCATGCCGGCTGTAGCGAACGCGCCTGGAAGAATCCGTGAGGACAGCTGAAAACGCTTGGTCAAGAGTGATGACTGCAGGACCTGTGCTAAGATCCAATTCATAGATCCTCAAATGGATGTTGTTTGGAACATGGCTCAACATGGAGGTGTTTTCCACGTGGTTTCAGGCTTTGACAAATGACGGTTGTTTGCATGTGAATGCTGCAGTGAATCGAATTCCAGTCTTAGACTGGTTGAAATGGTCTTTAAAAGGGCAAAGCACAAGACACACCACAAGTCCAGTCTGACCCAGTACATCCTGGGATGTGACCTTCTCGAGCTTTCCGTTTTGGTGTGCTTTTTTAAATGATCAACTCCAGCAAAAAGAGGTCATTCACATGTAGAGAAAACTCCTCCCTGTTCCTATCATGTGTTCTCCATGTTAAATCGTGTTTCTCTTTTCTCAAAGGGTCCTGCTTGGCACGGAAACGTTCTTCAGACCCTCCACAGAAACCTCCGCAGACTGAAAAAAACAGAACAACAGAGTTGGACCACATGTTCTTCCGCAAAACCAGTATGTTCTGTGTTTTTTTGCTTTCAACTGTATCAAGGTTCTTAAAGGTCAGGTGAGCATGTGTTTAACCACAAAATCCTCGCAAAGGAACCCAAACCAAACCGGATTCAGAGATGGCTTGAGAGGCCCAGTCAGCGGTCTAGAGATGGGACCACCTGTTTGTTCCTGAGTGGAATCAACTCCATCTCTTGATTCCACCGTCTCCTCCGGTCCGCTGCCGTGCGGGTCTCCGCGCGCGCCGATCTCGTGGGCGCTGGGCGCAGGGCGCAGGGCCGCCTCCTGGGATCCACCCTCTCAAAAGGAGGTGAATCAAAGTATGAGCATTGACCATGTATGATATGAGATCAGTTGAGGATAATACAAGATAATACCGATATGTAGCATATACCAATGTGCATCAATGTGCCAATGTGATATGAAATGATATCAGTTGAGATGATCTAGTATTGAACACATTGAAATAGAAGTTGATACATGATTATGTTAATTTCGTTATGTATAATATATATATATAGTACAGTATCCCGGTGGATGATAGTTAGGCTAGGTTGGAGGCCGACGTCTCAAAGGTAGTGATACTCTTTAACCGACTGTTAGATACTGGGCTTGCTGGGAAACATCGGAGGGGCCATCCTGTGATCCATCGAGGAACATCCCCCCAAAAAGTCATGTAGACTCGTGAGTAATACCCTCCACGATATGGCTTGTACAACCTCTTCAAGGATGGGGTCGAGAGATAAAGAAGAGTCCATACATTAAGGTACCTTTGGGGCAATATGTTCTAAGATTTGTTTTGTGAATCAAGGGTATCTTGGATATCTTGGCGGGAAAATGTTCTTCAATTCCACTGAACCAGCCTTCACTAGGCTCCATTGGACCATTGGAATCCATTGGATGGTGCTGGTATGACTATTGTGGTCTGATATGTGTTTTCTTCACTGTTTTTTTGAGTGACTGAACTGAACGCAAAGTCCGCAAAGTCCGCAAAGCTAAATCATTTCAGCATGTATCAATGCATGTTTGCAGGATATACTGGCTGAGGTTTGTATTGGGTCAGCACGTAGCACTAGCGAGCAACCTCCAACCTACGCCTGTACCGCCTGATTGTGTGTTGCGACTTCGGGTGGTGGCATGTCTTTTCTCCGCGGAGTGGCAACGTGGTCCACCCATGTTCGTTCAACCTGTTCTTTGTTCGCAGCCCCAAAGAAGTGGCCGGGGCAGAGCGGCGGACTATCTCCGCTGTGGCCAGTGAGTTCATCCCACAGCATCCAGGCAAAGCACTAGACTTTAGCTGGTAACTAGTGGTTCCAGTGGCTAAAACCAGTTCGACCGAACGAGGGCCCCTGGTTCCTTAGTACTCGTAGGAACTGCCTGGGATCCACTGGACAAACAGCCCATGGACGGGCACATGGGCCCATTCCCTCCCGCGGCGCTGAGCTCCCCGGCCCAATGCTCCAAGGCAGCCGCCTGCGGTTTCCACCGTGACACCGTGAACGAACGCGACAAGAGCACTGATGGGGGTGATGAAGATCAACCTGCCCAGTGCTCGAAAAGCAAGCACTTCACTGATGGCCCCTGTTGCATCAACAAGGGCCATATCCCCCCGGAACCACCAGGGTGTGAGTGGTTCCGAGTGGTTCCTGTGTGGACTGTGATGTGTGTGAACTGCTCCCGTCCCTCCATCCAGGGATTTGTGTGGCATGGCTGTCTGGGGTTCTCCCCTCCTCAGTCAGTTCTTTCATCCTGAATCAGTTCTTTCATCCTGAGTCTGTTCTCGATCGTCCGGACGGTCTGTCTCTTCTGGACTCTGCTTGAAAGCAGGCTCCGAAGATCATCGTACGATACTTGGAGCCCAAAGACGGACGTTACGAGACTGAGAATGGTGATGGACATCGTACAACACGGTGCAGGCGTGTGTGTTGCACAACATCATATAACGACCTTCCCAACCTCCTCCAGAGCAAAAAAACAAGTCCCTTCCACGGATCCTCACCAAGAAAAACCTCTTGACCCATCAACCTGGGAGCTCGAAGCTGAGCTGCCGGACCCCACAGCGAAGTTGAAACTAGAGTGGATAGAGAGTAAATGGCACCAATGCCCAAGTTTGGTGGTATATATGGACCCCCCATCTGTCTCAAACATTCTTAGGTGCCATCTCATTACCCTGAAGCTACTGTAGGTAGCCTGTCACTGTACCTGCTTTCATTCACCTTCTTCCCCCAAAAGTGGGCTGGGTGCCACCCTCCTCCGCTTCAGCGGTGACACGTGCGGCTTCAGCACGACCACGAGTTCTGGGAGCTCCCCACGTAGTGCTCTCTGGCCGTCTCAAGGTCCCCATTGGCCTGAGGGCGCGGAAGGTGCTTCAGCGAAGCGAAGCGGGAATATCAATATGGCAGGTGTTCACCCACAGGTGCCAGGAGACGTCATGGGCAACTACCCCTAGAGAAGGTGTTTCAGGTGGTTTAGAAACTGATTCACTGGCCAGCGATGTCTGTTAATTGTTGCAAAAAGTTTGCTTGCCCACCTGTCAACTTCGAGAGGTGTGACTCCCATCAAGTGCCAAGTTCTTTTCAAGTGCACATGGCTATCAGATCCGCTGCGTTTGAAGATCCTTGAAGCTGGTAAATTTGGACCAAGACTCACCAATTGAGATTCAATCACCCGTTGGGTGAGACCTCAGAATCACCCCTTAGGCCCTTGGGTGATGTTCAATTCCAGACTCACCAAGATTCTAGATTCTAGGGATTTGCACGCTTTGAGATGACCCTGCCTGACTGTGGCTAACACCCCATTTTCAACTGTACCAAAGCTGTGCAATTCGCAAAGGCACAATCCCCACAATGAGGTCACCGAGTCTGAGATGGTCAAGGTTGCCAAAGCTGTGCAATTCGCAAAGGCATAATTCCCGATGTAGGTCACCGAGTCTGGGATGGTCAACTTGGCCAAGAGTTGCAGTATCGAAAAGCAGCATTCCGGATGTGGGTCACCGAGTCTGGGATGGTCAGATGGTCACGTTTGCCAAAGAGTTGCAGTATCGAAAAGCAGCATTCCCGATGTGGGTCACTGAGTCTGGGA